TTCTATATATATATTTCTATATATATTATATATATATATATATATATAGATATATTCTCATGGTAGACAATCAAGGATCTATATCAGTCCTATATGTATATTCATATCCTATTATACTTTATTTCATTATTAAACTTACTTGCTTTTGCCTCTCTGTGTAGCTGTTGGGGGATTGTATTGGTAAGGGTGGGTTTGGAGCCGTGTACAAAGCACTTAACACAACCGATGGCAGTGTGGTTGCCGTCAAGAAAGTTAAGATCGGAAAAATGTCCAAACAGAAGCAGAAGACGATCATGGTATGTCAAATGGAGACTGGTGTGTATAGTCCAATACTCTGTTTGTTCACGTCTCCTGGGTTTAAAGCATACAGGGTTTAAGGTTTTCAGGGCGTCGATCAGTAAAATGACCAATCAGGAGCCGACGACGATCCTGATATTTCAAATGTGGACTAGTACAAATAGTACCATAGTTTAGAATTAGTCTACAATAGGTTGGTGGGTATCCTTTTAAAAATTCTAAATTCATGAGTTTGCTTTCAAGTACGTGTAACTGTTTCGTAGAAAGTCCGCTATTGGTCACAACAATGTGCTCTGTCACTATGTGACGTATATAGTTTAGGGGTTTAGGTGTGTGACTGCCACTTCCCCACACCCCGCCGTGCCATATTTACTTAAACGCACGTACTTGACATCCCATAGAGTATGTGGCTTCGAAATATCCAATGTTAAGGCTGTTTTATTGATCTATATAATACAACTGTTTTTACTTTTACTTTAAATATACTTCTATATTGAAGCTGCCCTATTCATGTTAAATGTGACATTACAGCTGATTTATTCATCTGACAAACCCGTACACATACACAGCATCGAGTGTATTTTACGGCTTGTCGCAGAAGTACGTGCCCAAATTTTGTGTTTATGGTATCCCGATGCTCATGCCAGTTCGGTACATACTAGCATTCCTAACAGAGATCAACATCACTAACGCTAATAACAAAGATTAACATCCCTCACATTATTCACAGGGTGAGATTGAGCTATTGCGCACATTGAAGCATCCCTCCATTGTGGAGTATCGTGGCTATGTGAGGCAGGGCGAGTACCTCAACATAATCCTTGAGTAAGTGGCGATACATGGGGTTTGAGTCCTAAACCTTATAAACCAGGTGCATAGTTTTGAGTCTTATACCCTATAAACCAGGTGCATAGTTTTTGAGCCCTAAATCCTACAACGTAGGTGCACAAGGGCAAGCACCTGCCACAGAAATTCTACAGAAGTGACCTGATTCGGTTGTTGAGGTTTTAGGACCCCTGAGTAGTGTGCGTTCATATTATATGTAGACACCATGCGTGAGTGTGGTAGGGTTTAGGGTTTTAGTCTTCAGGAATGTAATATGCCCGCATGTTCCCACGTGGTCAAAACCCTAAAACCCTAAGCGTACCAACGTTTCACAAGCGCACAATTTGCTCGGCCACACTGTTTGATTGGGAGTGGGGTATAGTCCCCTGACAGTCAATTCTACGACACTCACGCGCATTTATGATTTCGGAAAGTTGCATGTTCAACTGTTGTGTCGCGATACTTGGTACTAGTTCGCACATTATATTTGTCAAGAGGTTTTAGGGTTTTAGGGTTTTTAAAACCCCCTGATTCATTTTCTTTTCTGTAAGCAGTGCAGTTGACCTTGTTGGGTTATTTAGGTTGATTCTCGCATGTCTTTGTTGTGATTGTCTGCTATATATAGACACGTGGAAAGCTTAGTTCGTCATTAGAATGTGTATATATTACTTATTTCGTCACATTTGTATTTTAATCCACATTTGTATCTTAATTGTCACATATTTGACGGTATAGGTACATTGAGAACGGATCGCTACAGAGTATCATGAAGAGGTTTGGGCAGTTTCCCGAGAGATTAATTTCCGTCTACACCAAACAGGTGGGTGGTATGCTACAACTTTTAGGCTTTTATGGTTTCAGGGTTTAGGGTTTGGCTAACACGTCATGGAAGTTATACTGATATGTCAGATATAAAGTGTTTCATATCTCAACTCAATGGTTGCTGTTGCCAATGGAAAGATGCACACAGAACATAATGGTTTCTAGGGTTTTTACCAAAACCCTGCACGTATCATGAGGCTGTACATGTCAAACCTCACCTATATTCATTTTCCTAAACTTTGAGTCGGCTATTTATACTCATTACGAATTGGCGTATCCCAATATCACAGGTATTGGTGGGTCTCACTTATCTGCACGACCAGGGTGTGATTCACAGGGACATCAAAGGGGCAAATATTCTCACCACAAAAGGTAATGGCTTATACATATATATATGTCAATTACTATGCAACCTTAGTCTTGCACTATCTATCATTAAGACCCCATCCTACTGGGTGTATGCAATCTTCGTATATTCGAGCATGTGCCAATACTCTGAGATCTACAATTGCCTTCTCCAAGTATATGAATGTTTTAGGGTTTGGTTTTGCCTTCTCCAAGTATATGAATGTTTTAGGGTTTAGTTTTGCCTTCTCCAAGTATATGAATGTGGTATCACAAACACACCCTGTTCTGCGTGCACTCACACGGTCTTCTTTATTGATAACTCTCTCTGCAGCCGGGACGGTTAAGTTGGCTGATTTCGGAGTGGCAACCCAATTGCAGGATCAAGAGGAAGGGTCTGTCGTTGGAACGCCTTATTGGAGTATGTGCAATGGTTGTCTGTGCTGGAAGTCGTATACTTGTACCAAGAACCGTCCAGAATCTTTAGGGTTTAGGGTTTTTAGGGTTACTAAAACCTTAAAACCCTAGAATCGGCTTGCCTGTGCTGAAGGTCGTATGGTTGTATTATGACCCGTCTAGAGACTTATGGTTGCAGTGTGTTGTGAGTCAATTGCCACAGATCGTACGACGGGATAGTGCGCCATTGGTATAACTGTTTACAATGAACAGCTATTTACTAGTTCTGTCTCATTGTTACGTTATTTTCTCACGTATGACAAAATAATGGCGCCTGAGATCACCGCGCTGCGCAGGAAACGAGGAGTGTCTGACGAGGTGGGAGTATGGGGTATTTATATAAGCTACTCTATCATAATACATATGTCACATTTCCTTATTTCCTTGAGTACTCTTATTTCTACACATATGGTAAAATAGTGACGTCTTGGATTGTCTCGCTGTGTTGAGAAGGTCACGTGCCTGATGAGTGGAGTACGAGATACTTGCACACCACTCTACCACAACAGATATTGTCATACTTTGTACCCCTTCATCTATCCCTGTTTCCTCACATATCCTTATTCTCATATTCTTATTTTCTCATATCCCTATTTGCTCATATCCCTATTTTCTCATATCCCTATTTTCTCGTATCCTTATTTTCTCATATCCCTATTTCCTCACCTATGACGAAATAGTGGCGCCAGAGATCATCTCGCTCTGTGGCGCTCGCGAGGTGTCGGATGTGTGGAGTGTGGGATGTACTGTGGTGGAGCTGTTGACTGGCAACCCTCCCTACTTCAACCTAGCACCAATGCCTGCACTCTTCAGAATTGTCCAGGACGACCACCCGCCTATACCCAGCACAGTGTCACCCGTGCTCATGGTATGACGAATGAATTATATATC